TACAATGTAAATTCTTTATTATAATAATTACAATTGATTTGTCATTGACTATATTATACTAATCTATATTATACTAAGAGTTGAGATATAGTGACTTTAAGTTGTGAGTTGAGGAATAGTGGAGTGAGTTGTGAGTTGAGAAATAGTGAAGTGACTTGGGAGTTGAGGAATAGTGAAGTGACTTGTGAGTTGAGGAATAGTGAAGTGACTTGTGAGTTGAGGAAAAGTGGAGTGAGTTGTGTGTTGAGAAATAGTGAATTGACTTGTGAGTTGAGGAATAGTGGAGTGAGTTGTGAGTTGAGAAATAGTGAAGTGAGTTGTGAGTTAAGAAATAGTGGAGTGAGTTGTGAGTTGAGATATAGTGAAGTGACTTGTGAGTTGAGGAATAGTGGAGTAAGTTGTGAGTTGAGAAATAGTGAAGTGAGTTCTGAGTTGAGGAATAGTGGAGTGACTTGTGAGTTTAAGAATAGTGGAGTGACTTGAGAGTTAAGGAATAGTAGATTTTATAGTGAAGTGTGTACAGGGGTGTACCCTCATGGACATCTGGTAGCATGGGAGCAATCGTTTTCTCCAAGGGCAACTGAAATTAAAAAAAAATGCCTAGCCCAGCAGGACGACCAGACAGCTTGTTACTTATAAAACTGTGTTTATTAATAAAACCATATTTTGATCTATGAAGATTTAATTTCTTGCGATTATTTAAAAGAAAACTTTAAAAAGCATTTAAAGTAGTATACACTTTATGGTGCATAATAATGTACATTATGGTGCATAATAATGTATATTATGGTGCATAACAATGTACATTATGGTGCATAATTATGTACAATATGGTGCATAATAATGTACATTATGGCGCATTAGTATAAGTTTGGTAAATTTATATAAGGGTGCGTTATATAAATTTACCAAACTTAATAAAAGAAAGTCGACATTAAATATTTCGAAGTGCGACTGTACTATTTTTTTAAACATTGTTGTTGCATTTTGAAACACGCTTCCTTAAAGTTTAAAATGAGTTTTAAAAATTAAATTTTCTTTGATTTTTAAATACTATTGTATCATTTTTTAAACCTTATAGTTGCATTTTGAATCACATGAATAAGCAGTTGAATCAATAATAACACTGAATCTCTTTTGTTTTTCATTCTTGGTTTAGTTAAGGCGATTACAAATTATTGGAAATCTTTTATTTGGAATTGATTTTATCAGCGTATTATTTCAAAACAAGAGCTTTAGATGTTATAATTTTTTTAGCTTCAGGTTTTTTTAATATTTAAAGAAACTTCCCTTTTTTTTATAATTTTCAAAACCTTTTTACTATCCTTAATAGTGAATCTAAAGAACACTATTTTAGAGTCTTTACTTCGCTCATTGGCATTAACATGAACTTAGTTAAAATCTTTTAAAAAGTGCCTTATATATATATAGTTGTCAAAATACAATATTTCTACCAATTTTCACAAAAAAATATTTGAATTCTAACCAAGAAAGAACTTATAAATAAGAAAAATTGCCAATAAACAATCAGAACAGATCATATTATTAAACAATGTTTATTTCATCTAAAAAGTTTGTTTATTTTATCTAAAAAGTTTTATTTAAAATTTTATTTAAATTATGACTTTAAGAAATTTTTTTTCAAAATAAAAACAATTTTCTATCTGGTTTCTTTTGCTACAAACATTTATATTTTATGATACGGCAAAAATTATTATTTCAATTTTTTCATAATTCACAAACCTGACCATATAACAAAAATATGTCGCAGTGAACAAAATATCATAAAGACACAGTAATATTTTAAATTGCCTTAACTACATTAAGTTAGTAAAATTAATTTTTTTAACTTTTTCAAACAAATTAACGAAATTAAAAACATTAAGATGCACATGAAAAATTATTATTAGAACACAATTAACAATGCAAGTAGAAATTCTTTTTTTTAAAAAAAAAAAAGTCTTAGTATAATGAAAAATGTTCAAAACATTAAAAAACATAATGTATTTAATATTCAACTAATTAAATTTGATTAAAGATTAAGATAAAATAATAGTGATTTTAATACTTTTCTATACATAAAATGTTTTTGCAGTTTTGGATTTCATTATTTTTGCTTCCCATAATGAAACCTTTTTTAAGATTGGCAAAAATAAACGATACGATACAGATATCAACTATAACAAAAATGAAAAAACATCATTAACTACATTGATAAATTAAATAATTTAATTTTAAATATGAACTGTCATAGATATTCAACATAGGCATTCTATTTGAAATAAAATTCGACATATGTAATGAAGTGCAAGTATTACAAAAGTCATCAATTAAAACACTTCTATTCATAAATTCCAGCTCTGTATAGGTTTGCAAATTTGGAGCTTTTCCAACTGGTTTAGCTTCTTTTAACTAATATTGAAAAGTTCAAAAATACATGAGAGACTAGTTCCATCCATATCAGCTTCTGTAAAGTGCTTTGAACATACAACTGCTGATTTATGCGGATCAGTAAAGTTCTCTCTAGGTGGACCAGTTCTCCATTTTTATCTTCAGGAATATTTTAATTCAGGATATTTGATTTTCAATAGAATTCTATAAAAGTATTGACTAATAAAACAAAGAAATTGCTTAAGTAATAGCATCAATCATTCCTCAACACACTTACTAAAACTAAATTACTTTCTAAATTACATGCTAAAACATGATTACTTTCTTCAATAGCGTTACTTTTAAGTAAAATAACTAAGTACACTATGGAAGAAAGTAATTATGTTTTAGCATGGTTTTTGCATACGTGAAATGTTTTGGATTAACTAGAGTAGCAATCATTTTTTATAAATTTCAGTTGTCAAATCTGGAATCTTTTAAGTGATAGTATCACAATAAACTTTAATCTTAAAAACAGGGTAATATCAGGAAAGGGACTTTGAAAATTACCTTAACTCCTCTATATTTAAATTAGTTAATTGAGATCATGGAAGCCTGACAAAACCACAAAATTTATGCATGTTAAACTGTTTAGAGTTATGTTGAGTTAATTTGAAACTTTGTTTAGAGTTATGTTTAGTTGATTTGAAACTTTGTTTAGAGTTATGTTTAGTTGATTTGAAACTTTGTTTAGAGTTATGTTTAGTTGATTTGAAACTTTTGTTTCTTGAATTAAAAATTATTGAGCTAAAAGTTTTTTCTGTTGTTTTTTTTTTTAATTCAAAGCGTATGAGTAAAAAATGATAAAGAAAAAAAAATTAATTTTCATCACTATGATAAAATTTTCTAGCTTTATCCCACTTTTTCATGTCTTAAACTTTTCTAAACTTCTTATCTAATTTGGCTTTAATTATTACTTAATATAGCTGAAGTTTATGGATTAAGTTTACAACAATTTGCAGAATGGTGTGTTTCAGGTACAAAATCAATATAATTGGCATTGTAAAAGTTTAGTAGGGATTAGGAGTAATGATAACACTCTAGGTCAGCCCAAAAGATTGCATTTCTATCCTGAGCCTTCTATAATGGCAATAAGCACATTTCTTGGTACTCCTTTTGATAATTATTATTTTTAATAACCATAGTTTTTGTGGGAATTTTTTCATTTTTCTTAAATTTAGTCCTTATCTTTTTCTTACAGACTCCCATATATAAATGATGCCCTTGTAATTTTAAAAGGATACAAGATCCGTTTTTATTATTTTTATTTTTGAATATTTATTTGTATAATTATTCACTTGACATCTTGCCACTAATTCTTCTTAAGCATTTTTCAAAGCTTTTGAAGGACTTTATAATTTTTTGATATACTGGACAATTTGTCTGGTACTTTTTCATTTGAAAGCTCAATCTTGTTTTTGGTCTTTAGTTGTTTTTTTCAAGTTGTTGTTATTTTTTATATTTTATATTATTAATTTAATTTTTTTTATTATTTGTCATTTTTGTCATCTTTTTTATATTTTAACATCATGATTTATTTCTCAATTCTTTTACATTTCCAGCAATATGTCAAGTTAAAAACTATATATGAAAAAATCAATCTTTAAATCAAGACAAAAATTAAAATAAATATTTTATAAATATAAATAAATATTTTATCTTTGAATGTATTAAATCTTTTAAATGACTTAAGTTTATATTTTTATATTTTTAACTTTTTAGTTTATTCTTCCAGGTGTTTAAAATTGTTAAATTGTTAAAACTTTTTTTTCTTTCAGAATGCATTGATAACATCTATGTAACAATAGATAATAGTGATTCAACTTTACCATTGCGTGAAGTGGCACATGTTTCAATGACAGAAAAAGAGTTTATTATTCGACCCATGCTTGAAAAAAAAAATGTTGGTAATATTAACATTATAGAAACTAAATACATAAATTTTTAAAAATCGAAGTTAATTTTGAAATTTATTTTAAAAACAGCACAATCAATTAAGTCCAACATTTTTATGTCTAAATGATCTTAGTAGAGAACCCAGAGTCCATTGTATTTAATTATTGGTTTTCAAGCAGCTCTGTTGTTTTTTTTTTGTAAATGTTTAGAAAAAATGAAAAATTTGGTTTTTTAATGTAAGGGTTGGAGGTTGGGCAAATACTACCCGGATGTAAAAAACTTTTATCAGGGCTTCTACCATAACAAAATAACACTGGATTTTAAAAGTTTAGGAATGAAAAAATTTTTAGAGGTCTGTTTATTGTATTAAGCCTTCAACCCTCGGAATTAGGAAAAATGAGGTATAATAAAATAATTTTTCCCGACCTGACACCGATATCAGGTCAGCAAAAATTATTTGATTCAAAGGTCTTAACCATAAAATATAAAAAAACAAGGTTGGCATTTTTTTGCTGACCCAAAACACTTTAAGGTAAGCATTGCGGAATGCCGACCATAATTCCGAGGGTTGAGCCTTATATACTTAATCTAGATCCTAATTACCAAACCTTAATAAAAAGTGTCAATTTTATTTAACTCTTTTGGTAGTTGCTAGTATTAGTAATTTTAAATATTACCATTTTTTAAAGATTCAAAGTTCTCCCAAGACTCTTGACTATTTAGCAAGTCCCTAATATTATCAAAAAAAGTTATACATGAAAGTTTTTAAAAAATGATAATTATATTATATAAAAACTAATATATTAAATTTTGTTGCTTAAAAAATAATGTTTATTATTTACAAGTGAAAAAAAAGTGTATTTTTAAGTGTATTTTTTTTATAAAAGTATTTTTTTTTAAATTAGTTTATTATAATATAGTTTCTTTTTTTTTTTAAATTTTTATATAACTTTGCTTCATTTGAGAGCCAACATGATTAACTTTTTTGTATATAGTATTAGGGTTAAATGTTTAAGGGTCTTGGGGGAAAATATCTTTAAATTTTTTTATCCTAAAAATATCTTTTATTCAAAAAATTGTTGTTTTATATTCACTGTGTGCCATAAAGACCGCCAGATTGAACTTCTCCCCACCTCTAATTTTTTTTTATATTAAGATAAATGCTGCTAAAATATGTTATTTTTGTGTATTGGATAAATCTAAAGTAGATCATTAGTACCGAAAAAATTAATTTTTTAACCCTATTTACCCCCTTAAAGCAATAAACTTACCCCCTATAAAAGTAACCCCTTCTATTATTATTTTAAAAATCAATATCCCTTATTATCCTCTTTAAAGTATTATGATATAATCTATAACTTCAAACTTAAATCATTAGAGTCCCTTATAGTAATAATAAAAAGGAAAAATAACAAGGAAAAAACAATGAATGCAATAAAAATATTAACACAACTACTTATATATTGAAATATCTATGCAAAAAGTGGCAGTGGCAGATTTTAATCTTTTACCATAATCTATATGCCCAATCCTTTGTTTCGTCGAGACCAACTTGGTTTAAAGGCACTGTGAACAGCCTCTCCAGTCTGTTCACTAATGATCTAAGAGAACAAGAGTTAAATTTCACAAATGGGAGAATATGACAAACCACTATATGTACTTTCCAAGTAACATTCAGCTCTGCATTAAAATGTATTTTTGCATATTGCTGAAGGTCAAAAAATGATACTTTGAACTCTTCAATAACTGAAGAAACATTACTGCCTAATTCTTGTCCAAATGTGCACTCTTTAACTTTTGAAAACTTTCTGAGGCAATGAACAATAGGTATCAAATTAGTTTGAGATGCTAAAATATCTCTTTCTAAAATATCTACTTTTTCTAATAGTTTTGTGGCATTATTGCCATCAAAGCCTATCCCATGATAACCATGAAGTAAAATATAATGCTCTTTAAGCCAATTTGTAAGCAGAGGCCAATGATCTAAAAGTAGCGTACCAAGTAGTATCACAATCCCCATAAGAAGATGTAATTCTGGTGGTGGAACTAAGTGAATAATTTCAACTTCAGGATTTTTATCAAAATAAACAAGATGAGGACTAATCACATTTTTAAAATCTTTCATCTGCAATCACTGCCCCATTTTTAACAAATAACTTGTACCAATGATCAAGAGACCCTAACGTTCTTGGAATACCACTTTCTAGGGTACATTCACCTTCACACCATAAGCAGGCATATTTACCAGAATGAGAAGATAAACCAAAAATGCTGTTAGCACATTTCAAATCAAATGCAGGGTGATGCGTAACATCATCTAGATTTAATCTACTCAAGATTTTCTGCTGATTTACATGGTCTTCAGAAATATTTTTAACAATTGCAAGTATAAAACACTTTTTAACTCCACTGTTGATGTGTATCTCATTTTTATTGGTCTTGTCAAAGATATTTACAATTACTTTAAGAAATCCTTGACCTCCATCAATGGATACACGTACCATACTGGAAAGATCTAAACCTCTTTCCATTAAAATACTAAGAATAAATTTAGAAGTGTCATGAATAAATACTATATCTCTTGTTACAGTTTCATCATTCCAAATAAAATCATCTTGCTCTATTTTATATTTAGACTCAATTTCTTGTTGTAATGATGTCATCATGCTAACTACATTGTTGTCAACAACAGTAGATGACCCTAGATTCTTACGCAGACATGATATCATTTTTTTTGTTTGATTTTTTGTTAATTCCAGTATAGAAATTTAAAAATAAAGTATAACTAAATTAAATATATTTTTTTACCATAACTTAAAACATAAGTTAAAACACAAATATTTCAAAAAAATTAGCAATCAAAATAATTGTTAAAGTATATGCCTCATCTATTTTTGTGTGCCTTAAAGTTTTATAATATATAATATAGACTATATGATTATTTAGTTCTTTTATCAACAATTTTATAATGAAAATAAAAAACTTAGCTACCTGTAAATATTTTAAAGAATTGGCCTCTCTCTATGCCTTAATGCTTCCTCTTGTTTTTAATAATGCCTGAAGCAACTTGTTCACATGATGTGGAATCAAGGTTTTCTGACAAATTAATTAGGTTTAAAACAGCCTGACGAGAACTACAATTGATATGACCTCCTGAAGAATAAAATTAAATATAAAATTTATATAAACTTATTAAGCTTAAAAATAAGGTTTTTTTTATTGAAGTTATATAAATTATAATTAAAAAAAACTAACTATGTATAATTCTACATATTGTTTACAATTTACATAATTATAATTAAATATTTATGTATACATAAATATTTGACAACTTTATGTTTACTAATCAAATAATTTAATATTTATTTGTAAACCTCTTGCAAGGAGAGAAAAGCAGCAACTTCGTATATTTTTCTTTGGAGATTCTACAGCTAGTGTTTTACCACGAGTCTAATTCTTGGCCTGTCAACCTACTTCAGAAACATATACTTTATAAAAAATTATTTTTTAATAATTTATGTATTAATCATTTGAATTTAATAAATTCTGTACTTGAGATACTTTATTCATCCAGTTTGACAGATAAGTACTTGATCCCTTCTCCAGCAAAAATATGTTTCTTCCTCAATTTGAACATATTACGTCAGGGCAAACAATGAAATCTTTATTGTACTCAGGCCAAATATACTTTTTGATCTTATTTGCTACAGATGGTTGTACTTTTGATAACGATTTTGAATATTCACCTTTTTTTTCCAAACAAACTGCACAAACAGGCTGCTTTATATCGGCCATTTTTACTGCTCTGTGGGATTTTCTCTAATTATTTTTCTTAACAGTTGAAATTTATTTTTAAAAAAGAAGCCGAAATTGATGGATTACTTCGTTTTAATTGCTAAAATTTTAGTCCTTTTTACTTTTTTTAAACTTAAAATACTAACTCTTCTGATCGATTCAGATTTAATTTGCACTTGAAAAACACTTATACAAACTTAGGTTACTTAAAAAAAAAAAATCTGAGGTGGTGAGATTTCGAACTTAACGGCCTCTTACTGAGGCCTTTTCTTTACGTCTTCTTAGATAATCTAATTTGATTAATTTTAAAATTTAAAATTATATTATTTTAATATAAAGAACAGCAGATACTTATCAAAAATGTTGTTTTCTGGAAGACCCTAGTGAGTGTGTGTACATTTATGTATGTATGTAAGCTGATGTGCTTCACAATCTTTTTTACTTCAACACTTATTTACTTTAGCTAATGCCTCAGTGAAAGTAAATAAGTGCGAGAACTCTTCTTAAAAGAACTTGGAGAGTCATGCAAGCTGCTCCTCTAAAGCATATGCTTGCAGGTGTAGTGGTAGAGCGCTCGCTTCATAAACGAGTGGTTCCAAGTTGGATTCCCACCACGTCCCTGGTAGTACTGCGCTCAATTTGTTTCTCCGCATAGCGGCCTTGTTCGTCAAGGTTCGTGTTTTGGAGTTATAGAGTTGAGAGAGGGTTGTTACCACAAATAAGTAGCCTCCTCGTCTGTAGTGGCCTTCTCGGCCTTGAGGAGGTGAATTTAAAAATATATATGTATATAAATATGTTAGAGCAAATTCAAGAAAGCAGTTATAACATTCAAAAAAACAATTTTTTCCTTTTTTGTTATGTGTAAAAAGGTTTAATGCTATAAACTGAATTTCAAATAATAGCTTTAATAGAAAAACATAGTATTGATTAAGAAAAAGATTAATTACAGAATATTATCAAATTTTTTTTCATAATGGCATTTTTGTATGAAACTGATTTTTTTTTTTTTTGCAATAACCATGCATTCAATAAAGTATTGCATTTTATAGAGCAAGTATTGGTTTATTTTGAAAATGACTTTTGCGTTCTCCTTTTTAGTTACAATAGTAATGCTTTTCTTTTATAAACAACTTCGCAAATCTGACTTGACCATTTTGTTATAGTGATAAAACACGAAGGATTTTGGAAAAATCTCTCTGCACTGCGTCTGCGTCTCTCTGCCCTGCGTATTTGTATAAAAATCTGTTTTTGAAAAGAATTTTTTACTCATTCTTTGTATTATAATTATTTTGTATTATAATTATTTTATATTATATACTTTGTATTATAATTATTTTATATTTATTTTTACCTTTTAATACTAAAATTCTGCTTTACTAAAAACAAAACAAAAGTATAAAATAACTTATATTATAAAGTTATCAAGTTCTAAGTACCAGTACCAAAGTATCAAAGTACCATTTGTAAAAATAAATATAATCTCAAGCACCACAAAAAAAAAATCAGTGACTGTTACACAAAATAAATAAACAATTGTATTTTGTAATCAAAAAAATTCAATCTGAAACTCAAACTTTGTCTTTTTTTATTTGATTTTTGTAGTTTGCACAAGAATTTTGTATGTATGTATCTATACAAGAATTGAGTGAAAAAATTTACTTATGGTTTAGGATATTGTACATTAGTTTGAATTTTTTATCCTTATTAATTATAAAAGGCATAATTTTCTTTAATTTTTAATTTTAAATATAAACTGTTAACTAGCTTTAAACTTTTATTTTTTTCTATTTATAGATGTTGAACTCTATAGTAAAAGGTATTACAAATGCAGAATTGAACATCAACCCAACTATTGATGGTGATATAATAAAATTTATTGCACCTACGTACGTATTTAAGATATACTTAATTTTATAACTTAAAATAAAAATAATATATACATACATACATACATACATACATACATACATACATACATACATACATACATACATACATACATACATACATAGTCAGCGAAAGAGTGCCGACTATAGCCGACATCAGGTCGGCAAAAAAAAAAAAAAGGATTTTTTGCTTTCTTATGATAGGGATAATGATTCATTGATTATAAAAGTATTGCTTTATAATAGCATAGCTTCAGACAACAATATTTTAAAGAATGAAAAAAAAAAATGGCCATAGTTTATTTAATACATTTTGATAGGTTTTTTTAGATTGCTCATAGAAAGAATGTCGTTTAGAAATACAAATTTAGTTTATGTGCTGTAGGCAAAGATTTTGTTTAAAACAGCAAATTTTTAACAAAATAAGTAGACAGTAAACATCCGGTTGTTTAACCTTTACAAGAAATTAGCATTTATTTCTCCATTAGTAGGGTGGTGATTTTCAATATTTAATTGTAGTATTGTATAAACTTGTAACTATATGTAAATTGATAGAGGGAAAACAAAAGTTAAAAATACTAAAAATAGTTTTTTTTCTTATATATAAACATTGTTTTGAGTTAGCTTACTGTTGTATCTGTTGCGATTTAATGGAAGCCTAAACTTTTATCAAATTAAAAAAAAGTTTTGTAACTAATGTTTCTTCTCCGCATGTTTCTCACATAACTATAACAAGGCTAAACTTTCCTAATATACTTTCTGATCTTAAATAATTCTAAAAAAACTGTAAGCATGTAAACTATTTTATTAGTTACATGGTTTTAAGTGAAAAAATAAATTAAAATTAGATTTTATATCTTAATAAAATAATAATTGCACTTAAATATAACTTTTTAAATGTCAGTTGAACAACAGGCATTTAAAAAGTAATATTTTTTAACTTTGCTATGCTTCAATAAATTTGAGAAAAAAAGAAAAAATGAATTGAAAAAAAATGAATGAATATTTGTTTTAATAAAACATGTCAAACTTGAAAAGCAAGTAATTACAATGAAAAAATTATAAAATTAATTTTTTACAAATATTAAATATTTTTTACATGTATTTCAATTTGCATGCAGACACTTTAGAATATTCATGTCAGCAGTTGTATTCCGTCCTAAAGCAAAGATAGGTTGGCTTTTGCGTCGGCATTGCCGAATGCCAACTTGAATTTCGCTGACTGCATACATACATACATACATACATACATACATACATACATACATACATACATACATACATACATACATCATACATACATATATGAATATATATATATATATATATATATATATATATATATATATATATATATATATATATATATATATATATATATATATAATGAAAATTAAATAAGTATTTTTACTATTTATTATTGCTCTGTTCTTTAAAAACATTGAGCATTCTATTTGTAGAATACACTAACATAATTTATATATATATATATATATATATATATATATATTATATATATATATATATATATATATATAACTTCAATTAAAGTTTTAACTTATATAAATTACAAAATTTGTCAAACACCAATAAGTTTTATTGTCTCAAAATGTTTTATTCTACTCATTGTTTTTACCACCTCTCTCGTATATGCATTTGTATGTGTTAGGGTATTTGGCATTGCTGTTTTTGACACCCCTCCTCTGTACTTGCGTACATATAGATTATAAAAGACATTACAGATGACATTATAGAAGACCCCTAAGCATATTAAATTCTATTGAAATTATGATAACTGTTAAATAGCAACTGGTAAAATAATAATAATATGTTGTTATAGCTAGCATTTGATTGTTAGCTACAATAGAACTATATTGTTTTAAGCGTGTTGTAAAAAAAATTTCCCACTTAGCCTTTTATTTAAAACTCCCTTCTTTTCCTCCATTTATTAGATCTGAATTACTAATCCTCCCCCATTTATTAGATCTGGATCCAAACCTTGTAACAAGCATGCAAGAGTAACCCTGATAAATCTTTCTTGGCAGAAGTGTTTAAAAAAAACTGTTCTGTCAAAATATATTTAAAATAAAAGAAAAAATAATAAATTTCAATTTTATTTATCAAGTTTAAAAGTTGTCAAATAAAAAACAAATCCTCAAAAAATCAAACTTGGACCTCACCCAGGTTAAATAACTATCCCAGTTGTTGTCATACTTCTATTCGCAAATAATTTAGTAACCACACTTTTTTAAGTAAAAGTTTTTTACTGCCCTCTCTTCCACCTCTTCCTTATTTGCCCACTGATTTAAACATAACTCATATATATCAGAATTCATCAACATTTATTGCAAATTTGTTATACTCAAAACCAATGTCCTATATCCTGAATGAAATAGTTTTATATTTTATAACCCTTATCTTCTGTAAATTCATCATATCTTGTGAATCCATTATATCTTGTGAATCCATCATATCTTGTGAATCCATTATATC